AAGTTGACCATTCCTTAATGCTTTCAGTTCCTCTTGTGTAGGAGTCTTGAGCACAATTATACTCCAAACTAAAAAATTGCGGCATGTGCAAAAAGCAGATAGATGAAGTCAAAGAGTTGCTAAGCGAGGGTAGTAACCTAAAATGTTTGTTGGTGATTTCCTCCTGAGTAAGGCTTATAATAGTATCCTGTTTAATGCTGCAGCCAAGCTCGGATCGTGCTGCTCGCCAAGCGACATCACCTATAAAAGAAACTATAAGCGCAGACTAAGGAGCTTGCTTTTCGAATTTTAGGCATTACTATGAGCTTAATGATGTTAAGGCAAGATACGTCTAGACTGTCATATAATCAGCCAACCAGATGTTCTTCCCCCATAGTTATCTCCATCGGTTTGTCGTTTTCCAATAACCAAAAACTCGACTAACTCGCGAACTCGTCGTCTTCGCAGTTCTTTAACTCTTTCCTGCGTTGAGTTGCTGCTCAGCCTTGTATTGAGCTTCTAAACTGCAGCTCTAGGCAATACTGACCTATATCGTCCATACTTCGAGAGAAAAAATACCATTAAAAAATTGCTCAAAACAGCTTCTCGAACTTGATTCCTCAATTTCATAGTTTGCTTGTGGTCTACGGTATACCTCCAAGTGACATCATAAACATGATCTGTTCCAAATGCTATCACATAGCTCAATTTCTTGCCCCAACCCTGTAAGACTTTTCAGAAGAAAAAAACGTAAAATTGCCTTGCCAGCACCAACCTTTTCATAGATTAATGGACGGTCTATAGTATTTTCGCATGGATCACAATGAACCCAGTTGTCGTATTCGGGTATCCACACTTCAACCCAAACATGATCACTGACATCGTAGATGAAGCGAACGTCAAAATCCATGGCTGCAGCCATCAGTGCAAAACAGTTGGCAAACTCTCCACAGCGACCTTTCCTGAAGAAAGTGTGATTTTCTCACTGAAGTAGCTCTTCTAGGTGTAAACGCGGTTAAAGTTAGCCTATTCGTAGAATAAATAGCGCGTTTAGTGTGAAGCCTGGTCAAAGAGATGGGTTTGCCATTTTCCATGAAATCAACTATGCAAGGCTGACGCTGTCGTGAACAAAAATATGGCGAACCTTGTTTCGAGCAGCTTTGCAGGATCATTGTATCTTGGGTAACGCACCTCTTGGCCGCATGAGCAGTTATAAACCTCGACACGATTGGCACCACTTTCACGTTCTTCAATACTGGGTGTACCTAACAGAAAGGAAT